AGATGCTTCAACAAATGAATGCCGCACTGGAGGCACTCACCCGTTTATGCCAATAAATTTGGTAGACAAATAGCTAGCGAACTGACTGGAAGAGATCCATATTTGTGCCCATTCCAAAGAATGGTCATCCAACAGGATGCGGAATTATCAAAATATATTATTAGTATCCCATGCAAGTAAAATTTTGCTGAAGATAATTAAAAAATGGTTACAGCAGTATACTGACAGGGAACTGTCAGAAAATCAAGCCGAATCCAGAAGAAAACATGGAATGAGGGATGTCATTGAAAAGAATATGGGAAAAATATTTACCTGCATTTTATTGACTGTGCAAAGCCATTATGGATAACCTTGCAAAGAATGGAGATTCCAGAACACTTAATCGTGCTCTTGAGGAATCTGTACATAGACCAAAAGGCAGTTATTTAAACAGAACAATGGGATACTGCATGGTTTAAAATCAGGAAAGGTGTATGTCAAGGCCAAATCCTTTCAGCATAGTTATTCAAACTGTTTGGTAAGCAAATAATCTGAGAAGCTGAACTATATGAAGGAGAATGCAGCATTAGGATTAGAGGAAGACTGTTTTACAATCTGCAAATGCAGATGACACTACCTTGTTTGCTGAAAGTGAAGAAGACTTGAAGAACTTACTAATGAAGTCAGACTGAAGCCTTAAGTATGGATTGCACCTCAACATAAAGAAAACAAAAATCCTCACAACTGGACCAATAAGCAATATCGTGATAACCCAAACCCACTGCCATTGAGTAAATTCTGACTCATAGCGACCCCCATTGGGATTCCAAGGCATTAAGTCTTTATAGAAGTAGATTTCCCAGCCTTGGTTCTGTGGAGTGGCTGGTGGGTTTGAACCACCAACCTTCTGGTTAGTAGTCAGATGCCTTAGCTATATCTAATAGTTATCTTCTGCCTTTCTCTCTTTTCTTTCTTTCTTTTTTTTTTTTTTTTTTTTGAAACAAGAATTTCACTAATGCCAAAGAAAGAAAAGCACTTAAGGGTTTGGGGAATAATTTTAATCAATATAAGCATCGTTCATGCTTAACCCGAATTGTGACAGTTGTGGCCTTCATAACATTTCTTAATTTTCTTCTTCAGCCCTACACTGCTTCAAAAAGTAGCCTGTCTTTAGTAGACTCAATCAGCATAAATAATCTCATTCTGTGATATCCAGATTGAATATCAAATAAAGTATAACACATACTTGACATTTTATCATTTAGAATTGTCAAGCTTTTCATTAAATCCTAAAAAAATAACTCCAAAGAATTAAACTATTTTTTCTAACAGGTAATATAGTTGTGATAAAGCAGAGCTTATATATTTAATTTTTTTATAATAAAATATATTTCCAAAAGTTTTAAGTCTACAATTTTATAGATACAGTTTTCCATCCAGGAGGCCAGATATAATTTCTTTTTATATGAAACAAAGGTTTTAAGAGGTTATAGGCTGTCAATCAGGCACATCTTAGTCAATACCATACAAAGACCTTGACAAGATCAAGAAAGAGATGTTTAATATTAGTGCTTAGTCTCATAAAATGGGGAATTTTAACCAAATTGATACCTCTATATTCTTAATCACAATCCCTCCTGTACTCTTAAAGTATACTGCCTGGAAAGTAATATAAGTTATTCATGTAATTTTTTAATTCACTTAGTTGCAAATTAATTCTAATTTTAAGCACTGCATATATTCCCCTTTAATTACTTATACTATCCCAGAATCTTCCTGGAAGATGTTAACTGTCCCAAGTGGAAAAAAACAACACAGAGCTCTTTCTCTTCCTTAAAGATTTTCAAGTATTATAGGAACAAAAGTCCATGGAAAAATTACCAAAAATTTGACATTCTATCTTAAGAATCACGGGACAAAAGAGATGTGAGCAGAAAACAAATATTCTTTAATATTTCTTTGCTTATACTAAGAAATGGGAGCTCTGGTAGCATAGTGGCTAAGACACTTGCCTGCTAACCAGACGGCTGGCGGTTCAAACCCACCAGCCACTCCTCGGAAGGAAGGTTGGGCAATCCTACTTCCGTAATGATACTGCCTCGGAAACCCAAGGAGGGGTCGCTATGAGTTGGGGCCGACTCGACGGCACATAGCAACAACAACAACATACTAAGAAATATCGTAACTATGTTTATGAGCTGTTTTCTGGCTTCTTCAAGTATAGGACACACCTCTGACTGAGAAGAAATAAACAATTAACTTCATGTAACTCAAAAAGACGGAGGGCACAAAAAGATCATCAGACTTTGGTTTTTAAGACCCTGCTGTTGACCCTGAAATGCTGGACCTTCTACAACAAAACATTACAGCAGCACAGCACCACTTCAGCTACATTATTAGGAATTCGAACTAGGTAATGGTTTTCCCCCCTCTCCCACTCAGTCTATTATATCTTCCTTTCGCTTTTCTGGGTTTTTAGCTGCAGGCAGTTCAAGGCTTGCCCATTGCACGGGTTCAGCTTCTCTCATGGTCGTAAATGGACAAAATATTGAAGTTGTCAAGGATTTCATTTTACTTGGGTCCGCAATCAACACTCATGGAAGCAGCAGTCAAGGAATCAAATGATGCATTGCATTGGGCAAATCTGCTTCAGAAGATCTGTTGTCAAGTGCTAAAGAGCAAAGATGTCACTTTGAAGACTGCAGTACACCTGACCTAAGCCATGGTATTTTCAGTGGCCTCATATGCATGTGAGAGCTGAATGATGACTAAGGAAGACTGCAGAAGAATTGATGCATTTGAGTTGTGGTGTTGGTGAATTATATTGAACATACCATAGACTGCCAGGAGAACAAATCTGTCTTGGAAGGAGTACAGCCAGAATGCTCCTTAAAAGTAAGAATGGCTAGACTTCTCTCTCATGCTTTGGTCATATTATCAGGATAATCCCTGGAGAAGGATATCATGCTGGGTAAAGTGGAGGGTCAGCAAAAAGGGGGAAGACCCTCAATGAGAAGGACTGACACGGTGGCTGCAGCGATGGGCTCAAGCATGGCCATGACTGTGGTCATGGTGCTGTGATCATGGTGGTATTTTATTCTCTTGTACATTGGGTCGCGATGATCTAGAACCAGCAACACCTAACAAAAACAACATGGCATGTGTGGTAATACTCTGATTTTCACTAAATTATAATAATTTATAACATGGATAATATCATCAGTATAGTATCATCCCCACTTCCTGACCTCCCCAGATGTACTACTGAATATTTAGATTGCTAAAATATCTTACTTTCTCACCCTTCTTTCTTTTGGTACCCAGAACAACAGTAGCTATAGTCCCTCCTTCTAAGCTGTCCTAAAAAAGATTATTCTATTTATCACCTAGAGCTTTGGTAAGCTGTTGTCTTTCATTATCTTCCAAGATCTCAGAAAAATACAAAGTGGTATTTTGAAGAGGAGCTCTCTCTTGCTACAAATAGATAAGAAATTCACTTGGTACAGTCTAGTTGATCTATGGCAATCAGAAATCAATCCATAGTGCAACACAAGCATACAAGGTAGGTCGTGTCATCCCCTGATGAAAATAACTGAGGTTCCAAGAGATAAATGACTTACCTAAGATCTTGAGCCCAAGTTCAAGTTCTTAAACCCAATTTTAGACTCCAGAATTAACATACATACAGATACCACTATTAAGTAACTGTGCTAATGGGAGTAGAAAGAATGGTAGAACATTATGGATGTGTATTCAAAGAAATACTTGCTTTGGGTAATCTGCCAATTTCAGAGTTGATTTTTAATAGTTGTACAAATTTCCTAAGTTCTTTGATCTCTTTGGACCCTACTCACTCACAAAAGGGAGCACTGTCTTTTTAAAAAATACACACACAGACACACAAACACAAAACCAACCAGGCCAACATTCATCATTAGCAAATCACAGTCAACATTTTTGCAAATTAGTAAAAGAAAACGAACTACAAAAATCACCAACATTTAACACTAAGGAAAAGGAAGACACAGAGAGGTAGGTGCCCAGGAGGCAGGAAGTCGTGGTATGTCAGCAACTCAGCAGATGGTTTCAGGAAGCAGTGTATGAAGCAGCAGAAAGAGTGTTATGATTTAGCCCTGGGTTATAATCTTATATTTGTGTGAACTTGAATTTAAATTTCCTAAGTTGTGAAATGAGGGGCTGGATTAGGTGAGCCTTTGAATTTCTTCTTGCTCTAAAATATTGAGAGTCAACATTTTGCATAATTTTGGCCAACTCACAGCCTCCAAAAATGTTTTGTTTCATTTTGTTCTGAAACTCTACTTCCACTCAAGGAAAAGTTTCTATCTTCTTAAAAGTTTATGAGACTCTGACCAAAGAGACAAATGTTTTGTGAATATTTTCCATTAAAATTAAGTCAGGTACTTTTAGAATTAACCTACTGGTCCTAATTGGTGTACAATTGCATGGGAGAAGAACCTTGAATATGGGAGTTGCTGAATGTATATTTGTTGAAGTGAATTAACACTGCATTTCTCAGGAATGACCACCATTCAATGAATGCATTAACCATTTTCAAACTGTATAGCACAACACACAGTGAGAGGAGAGAGTTACTTTTGTAACAGTCATGCCTGCATGTAAAATATCTGAGAAAACTTACATTTTTATGGTGGTCATGACACTAAATATTTTGGAATAGTTCAACTGTCACTTCATCTCTATAACAGTGACCTATAAGGTTTTAAACCTGATGAAGGTGCTCATTCTCAGTTATAGGGATGTTGAACGAGGGAGTTTGGTTATGTTCTGAAGTCCTGTGGAAACTCAAGGACAGGGGATTGTTATTTTCAATATTTAATAGTTATTTTCAATGGCAGTTACCATTTTGTTATTCATAAAAATATTATTTCATTGGATTCAAAAGCAGGGAGAAAATAGTTTACTTCTAAGTGGAAGTCACTGTACTGGTGGCTTTGTTGACAGTTACTTTGTCTCAGTTATTTACTGAGGTTTTCTTTCAGGAAACAGTTAAAGTGTTTTTAAAACATCCTTCAGTGAAAGACGATTCGGACCTTGAAGGAAGAACATCGTTTATGTGGGCTGCTGGGAAAGGCAGTGATGATGTCCTTCGGACTATGCTGAGCTTAAAAGCCGACATTGACATTAACATGGCAGACAAATACGGAGGTACAGGTAAGAACTGGCAGACATTCAGTTTGCTTTTATTTATGTTTCAAAGTGCACATGGTGCTGTACAACTTGGGAAAACAGTACCTTATAATCATTGTTCCTGACGTGACATGTCTGCCTGTCTTCTTCACTTCATGAGTTTGAGTTTGCCACTCCAAAAGCTTTGTTTCTCCCAAGTATTGTGGCTAAATGAACACGTTTCTACCAGGAGGATGGTGGCATTTGGTTTAAAACTTAGACGTGATTATGGGAACTCTTATGATCATTTATCTTTGTGTAAAAAGGTGTGAATCTGTCATTTAAAATTATGCTTGTTTAGTCATTATCAATTATACCAAAAACCACACTCACTGTCATCTAGTCGATTCCGACTCATAGCAACCCCCATTGGATTTCCAAGGTGGTAAATCATTATGGAAGTAGATTGCCCCATCATCCTCTGCAGAGCAGCTGGTGGGTTTGATCCTCCAACCTTCTGGTTAGCAGCCAAATGCCTTAGGGCCTACTCCACCAGAGCTCCTTATTATTTATATCTTCAAAAATGTATAATTATATTTTTAATAATTGTCTTGACACCTGCGTATGTTCTCACCCATCTCATTCACAGCTCTCTTTACTCAGGTATGAGAAACAGTAACTCCTCCTGACTCCCCACTTTAGAGATCACCTCCTGTGACTCCAGAAGCTTCAAAGCTTCAAGTCAGCTTTGCATCCAAAACTTATACTAGACGCTTCGTTTAATCTCCTTTTCTAATGAGCTAGCTATGTGTTAGTTGGTAAGAAAGGGATGAGTTTTTTAGTGGTCACTGCCCACTCGGAGCTCTCAGCACTGTGTGCTGTATCCTAATCACAAAACAGGAAGAGAAGGAACAATCCTCCAACCGCACAATAACACTGAAGAGAAGAAGAACGGGATGATGAGCTTCTCAACTACCTTTTCTCTTTTCTTTTTTTGCCCTGTGGAAACCTAGTGGCGTGATTTGTACCTACCTGTCTTCCTGGATAAGCTCTTGTTTGGCTGCCAACACCATGGATGCAGCCCTGGGAGAGGATGGTTTGTTCTCTCCCTCTCTATACCTAGACCACCACACCTCTGAATGATAGAAAAGGAGTTTTTAGCCAATACTAAGTTTATGATAAAAGCACTAATTTTCAAAAGTATACATTACCAAAGCTTCACGTAGACCTTAAGTTTCTTAAGGAGTACAGTGCAGGCATGTAGGACACCAAGTTTATAAATGGTCAGAACATTTTTTTTTTTTTTTTTTTTCAAACTTCCATTCCTGTGTAGCCTTCCACTTTGTCCTTAGCCTTGCTCTTAGTTTAACTTCACATCTTTTTTGGAAAGCAGCCTTCTGGTGTGCTCCAGGATTAGAGCTCAGACCACAAGTACCCTGCTCAATTCCAAGCCTTTGTGTAAGTATCCAGCCCACAGGAGGCTCCCAACAAATTCCCAGGAATCTGCATTGTTACAAGCAAGTTGGGTCTACAGTCACCCTTTATGACAGAAACACTGTTGTAGGGGTTATGGAGCCATAATACTTAGACAGAACTGGCCCAGGCTTCTAGTCTGTTATCAGGGCAAATTCAAACCCAAAGAGTGATGGAGCCGTTCTACGCTGTCCCCTTAGGTCTCTCTGAGTGGAAATAGACTCAGTAACAACAACAGTGGAGAAACACAGGCAGGGGTGAATATAGTATGAGAATCACGTTACTGTTTAAAATCGCTCAGGAAGGCACCGGAGAGGAGACCACATTCCACAGCTCAGGTTCCTCTCCAACGTTGAAATGATCGTTTCTAAAATGAGCCTTAAAGAGTAGCTGGCTTGCACTTGGAGTATTGTATGACAAGTGCACTCAGTGAATTAAGATGCACATACTTTCAGAACCACCGAAGGAATAGCACAGGTAACCAAGTAGTAGCCAGAGGAGGAGCACAGGTAACCGACTAAAGGAACACTCGGATGAAGTGGCCAGCCGCTTGCCTGCTTATTGGGTGGAATGGTGGCAGAATTGCCTGCACCGTGTAAATCATTGATTTTTGTCATTGTTGTTTCTCTTTCTTAGCAAGAGGAAAAGATAATAAAGTAGTGATTAAGAAGAGGATACCATTTCCAGTCAACAAGAAAACAGTGAGATAAGAAAGGGGGAGGGCAGAAAATGTGAGTGATACATATGAGTAGGAAGGAAACCAGGATCTATAAATGTGAGGAATGGAGAAGGGTGTCCTGAGGGCCAGGTTGCGTTGCCCCAGGATGATGGGACGTCAGAAGGGGAGAAGAGGCATAACCAGGATGGTAAGAAGGCACGTGGTCAGTAAAGAATTGGCCTCTTCTTTGCTTCCTCTGCAGCTTTGCACGCTGCTGCCCTTTCTGGCCATGTCAGCACCGTGAAATTACTGTTGGAAAATAGTGCTCAAGTAGATGCCACTGATGTCATGAAACACACTCCACTTTTCCGAGCCTGCGAGATGGGACACAAAGAGGTGATTCAAGCACTTATTAAAGGTTAGTTATTAAGAGTGCTCCACACGAGTCACTCTCAAAACATAAGCATTCTTGTGAGCTTGGTTTAAAAGACAGCTTTACATAGCAGAGAGGCCACATGGGTGGGAGGACAGGAGGCGACACTAACCCTGGCACTGGGAACGCTGGCTCCGTGCCCGGCTCTGCCTGTTGACAGTTGTTTGATTTTGGAAGTCACTCCACCTCCCTGATGCTCAGTTTCATTATATATAAAAGGGGAATGATTTATACCCTGAACAGCTCACAGACTTCTTGTAAAACCCTGAAATAGATCATTTCTGTGGAAGCATTTTGCTAACAGCGCTGGACTGTTATATTTGTTTACTTCTTTCCTTTTTAATTTTTTAAAATTTTATTGTGGTAAAATATATATAACATAAAATTTGCCATTTTAAGAAGGAAGTTTTGAGGAGGAGAGGAGGGGAGGAAAAATTCCTAGACAGGTTAGAATATATATGTGCGTGTGTGTGTGTGTGTATATATATATATATACACACATATATATATACACATACACATAATTGCAGCAATATTCACAGTGGCCAAAACATGGAAACAACCCAATGGCCCATCAACAGATGAATGGATCAACCAAATGTGGTGTACGCACACATGGGATATTACACAGCAATAAAAAGGAATGAAGTCCTAATGCAAACCAGACATGGATGAACCTAAAAGCAACATGCTGAGTGAAATAAACACAAAGGATGAGTGTTGTGTGATTCTCAATTATGTGAATGATCTGAAACAGGCAACTGGGTGTGTGTGTATATATATACGTAGACACATACACACACACACATATACCGAAGATAAGATAATTAGTGGTTACCAAGGGTAGGAGGGAGGGGGAAAGAGGAAGCTTTTGTTTGGGGGCCATTGAGTTTATGCTAATGGTGGTGGGATATTTTGGAAAAGGACAGCAATAATGGTGGCACAACATAAAAAATGTCATCAATGCCCCTAAGCTGTAAATGTGGAAGTTGTTATGTTGGTGAATGTCTTGTTGTGTATGTTTTCACCATAACAAAGTAAAAAACAATCTGCCATTTTCACCTTTTTTAAGTGTGCAGTTTAATGGTGTTGATTACATTCACAATGTTGTATAGCCATCAATCACCAACATCTATTTCCAAAACTGCTCCATGACCCAAACAGAAATTCTGCACCTGTTGAGCATGGCCTCCTGATTCTCCCCACGCCCAGCACTGGTAACCTCTAATCCACCTTCTGCCCCTTAGAAGTTGCTTGTTTCAGATCATTCACATAATTGAGAAACACGCAACACTCATCCTTTGTGCTTATTTCACTCAGCACGTTGCTTTCAGGGTTCATCCATGCTTGGTTTGCATTAGGACTTCATTCCTTTTTATTGCTGTGTAATATCCCATGTGAGCACATACCACATTTGGTTGATCCATTCATCTCGGTGGGCCTTTGGGTGGCTTCCACCTTTTTGGCTATTGTGAATAGTACTGCAGTTGTTGTTGTTTTTGTTGTTATGTGCCGTCGAGTTGGCCCCGACTCATAGCACTGGTCTATAAGTATTGGGTTGAGTCCCTGCTTTTAATTCTTGGGGGTGTATTATACCTAGGAGTGGAATTGCTGGATCCTATGGTAATTCTGTGTTTAACTCTTTGAGGAATGATTTGTATTCTTTTTTATAATTACTCCATATATTTGATGTTTTCATTATATTTTTGTCTTTTCAGGTGGAGCAAGGGTTGATCTGGTTGACCAAGATGGACATTCTCTTCTACATTGGGCAGCACTGGGAGGAAATGCCGATGTCTGCCAGATATTGATAGAAAATAAGATCAATCCTAATGTACAAGATTATGCAGGGAGAACCCCTCTACAGTGTGCTGCATATGGGGGGTACATCAACTGTATGGCTGTGCTCATGGAAAATAATGCCGACCCCAATATTCAAGACAAAGAGGTAGAATCTGAGGCTGCCTCGGTTCCCTCACGTTTTCTCAGTGTTTAGAATATTTCTTTGTTGTAAAACAGTTTAGTAAATAATCACCAGAAATCCATCTGTTATTCGTAAACGTCTATATCCATATATAATGTAATACAGCAGTAATACAGAATGGGAATAATTTTATAACTTCCAGGAAATGATAAACTATGTAGAGAGGGCACATGTATGTATGTGTGCATGTGTTTGTACGTTTATATATGCGTGCATGTGTATGTGTGTGTAGCTCTAGAAAACATGATTTTACAAACACATTTTGTCCACTTAAAATTGTCACCACCATTTTCCCATTTGGTATATACTCTTTTTCATAAGTGTGAATACTTAATATTCCAAAGTTTTAAGTTCAGAGTTCTCATTCACTCCTCCCAGCAACCCTATACTCCCTGTATCTGCTATACTATAGTTGCTATTATTATTCCCATTTTACAGATGAGGAAATTGAAGCTTATGGAGCTTAAGTAATTTTCCTAAGGTGATAGTTACTAAGTGGAAGGGTCAAGATCCAAACTGTACCTTTAATCAAATTTTTAGAATTAAATAAGTAATTTCTTATTTTAAAGGCTTTTTTATTATCATAGAATGTTAGGTTAATCATCTTTATCCATGTAACTTTTGGGGAAACTGTTTCCTTAGATTGTTCAGTTAAAGCCACAAATGGTGTGAATATGATTAGGCTCTGATGTGTACCGCTGAATGGATTTCTCAAAGACGTGGGTTAATCGGTACTTCCCCCTGCTGTGTAGGAATGCATCATTTTCTCTCAATATAGCTAGTATTCATTTTTTGCTATTTTAACTGTTTTAAATTAGCATATTTGATTTCAAAATCATTTGCATCACTCAGCAACATTATGCAACGAATATTTATCAAGTATTTTACTATATATAAAAGTAACACAATGAAAAATAAGTTAAAACATGGTCCTTGTCCTCATGGAATTAGGGATACATCCCTTACAGTTTGTAAACCACCTGTTGCTATCAAGTCACTTCTGACTAATGGCAACCTCACTGTACTGAGCAGAAGGGAGCTGCATCAGATATGCTTGGCTGGAGTCACATTATTCTACCTGCCACACAGAGTTCTGGCTAAATTTTCTAAATTCCTTTTATCTTTTGAATTATTTTAAAATTTGCTTTATGGCCCAGTATATGGCTGATTTGGGTAGGTATCCTGTGTACACTGGAGAAGAGTGCTGAATCTGTCCTTGTTGAATGCAGTGTTCTACATATGTCACTTATGTCAAATTTGTTCATTGAGTTGTTCAGGTTTTCTGTTATCTTTACATACTTCTGTCTGTTTATTCTATCAACTATTGTGAAAGATGAGTTAAAATCTCCAAATATGGTTATGGATTTCACTATCCCCCTACCTTTTAGTTTTGTCAGTTTTACTTTATGTATTTAGAGGCTATGTTATTAGGTGCATTCAGATTTAGGATGTGCTATGTTCCTCTTTGGTTCCTTAACATTATGAAATATCCTCTTTATCTCTAGCAATGCCTCATGCCTTACTTCTTTATTTTTCATGATGTTGAAATTGGTGAGGAATATAGGCCATGTATTGTATAGAATTTTAGTTAATTTGGGTTTGTCCTATATTACCTCATAATTAAATACAGGTTTTATATTTGTTTTGAATATTACATAAGGGATATTGACTAATTCTCAGATTATCATAGAAGCATATGATGCCACTTATGGTAGTGTTAATTTTGATCACTTAGTTACAATACTATCCATTTCTTCTATTGTATACTTAATACTTTTCTTCTTTTCTAATGAAGCATTTTGGGGGAGCACTGTTGATGTTTTTGAGTTACAAAAGTAATCATTTGTCCAAAAGTACTAATTCCACATGTTCTTGATTTTCATTCTTGCTTGTAGGGAAGAACAGCTTTGCACTGGTCCTGTAACAATGGATACCTTGATGCCATTAAATTATTGCTAGACTTTGCTGCTTTCCCTAATCAGATGGAAAACAACGAAGAGAGGTAAATTGCTGGTAAAAAGTGTGTACTGTTGGTTCATATCACATGCTTTCTGCCAGGTTAGAAAATCTCAAGCTTAGACACTGGTTCAGAAATAATAAATATATTCATAAGGAAATACATTAAGAAATCTTGAACCAGAAGAAAAGAGGAAAAGTAACATGCAATATTGATTTAGAATCATGAAATATTATACCTGTTAAAAACTCTAGCTATTACCAAGGTGTGGTTAAGGTTGTGTAGCTGAAGCCCAAGGTCAAGGGGCTTTTACATAGCCCCTAGATTCTGGCACTCAGAACTCAGACTTCTAGCCTCCAAACATTGTAAGAATAAAGTCCTATTTGTTAAAGCCGTCCCACTTGTGGTATCTTCTGTTAGAGCAGCACTGGGTAACCAATACACAAGGGCAAGCTCACATTTTACAGATGAGGAAACAGGCCTTCTTCTGGCAAGGTCAGGGGTCCTGATTGGCCAAGACCAGGGATTCGGTAAGGCCGACAAGATGTGTTTCTTTAGGCAATTGTTGTTGTTGTTGTTAGGTGCCGTCAGTCAGCTCTGACTCATAGTGACCCTATGCACGACAGAATGAAACACCACCTGGTCCTGCGCCAGCCTCACAGTCCTTGCTGTCCCTGAGCCCAGCGCTGCAGCCACTGTGTCAGTCTAGCTCATTGAGGGCCTTCCAATTTTTCACTGACCCTCCACTTTACCAAGCATGATATCCTTCTCCAGAGAACGGTCCCTTCTGACAACATGACCAAAACAGGTGAGACGAAGTCTGGCCATTCTTGCTTCCAAGGAGCGTTCTGGCTGCACTTCGTCCAGGACAGGTTTGTTGCTTCTTCTGGTAGTCAATGATACTTTCAGTATGCTTCACTAGCACCACAACTCAATAGCATCAACTCTTCTTCGGTCTTCCTTATTCATTGTCCAGCTTTCACATGTATATGAGGTGACTGAAAATACCATGGTTTGGGTTAGGTGCACCTTGGTCTTCAAAGAAACATCTTGGCTCTTCAGCACTTTAAAGAGGTCTTTTACAACACATTTGCCCAGTGTAATACATTGGCTGATTTCTTGACCACTGTTTCCATTGGTGATGACTGTGAAACCAAATAATATTAAATCTTTGATAACTTCGATCTTTTCTCCATTTATCATGTTGCCGCTTATTGGTCCAGTTGTGGGGACTTTTGTTTTCTTATATGTTGAGATGTAATACATACCATAGACCATATATATAGTCTTTAATCTTCATCTGTAAGCACTCCTGGTCATCTTCACTTTAAGTAAGATTGTGTCGTCTGCTTATCACAGGTTGTTGATGAGTCTCCCTCCAATCCTGATGCCATGTTCTTCACATAGTCGTTTCTTAGATTATTGGCTCAGCATACAGATTGAATAAGTTTTGTGAAAGGATACAACCCTGATGAACTCCCTTCCTGATTTTAAACCATGCAGTATCCCCTTGTTCTCTTTGAACAACAGTCTCCTGGTCTGTGTACAGGTTCCTCATGAGCACAATCAAATGTTCTAGAATTCCCATTCTTCTCACTGCTATCCATAATTTATTATGATCCACACAGTTGAATGCTTTTGCCTAGTCAATAAAATGCAAGTAAACATCTTTCTGGTATTCTTTACTTTCAGCCAAGATCCATCTGACATCAGCAATGATATCCCTTATTCCATATCCTCTTCTGAATCCAGTTTGCATTTCTGGCAGTTCCCTGTCAATATACTACTGCAACCATTTTTGGATTATCTTCAGCAAGATTTTACTTGTGTGTAGTATTAATGATATTGTTTGATAATTTCCACATTCTGTGGGATCACCTTTCTTAGGAATGGGTAAAAAATATGGATCTCTTCCAGTCAGTTGTGCAGGTAGCTTTCTTCCAAATTTCTTGGCATAGACAAGTGACTGCCTCCAGCATGGCATCTGTTTCTTGAAACATTTCAGTGGACATTTTGTCAATTCCTGGAGCCTTCTTTTTTGCCAATTCGTTCAGTGAAGCTTTGACTTCTTCCTTCGATACCATTGGTTCTTGATCATATGCCACTTCCTGAAATAGATGAACATTGACCAATTCTTTCAGTACAGTGACTCTGTGTATTCCTTCCATCTTCTTTTGATGTTTCCTGCATCATTCAATATTTTGCCCATTGAATCTTTCAGTAGTGCAACTTGAGGCTTGAGTTTTTTCTTCAGTTCTTTTAGCTTGAGAAATACTGAGCATGTTCTTCCTTTTGGGTTTTCTAAGTCCAAGTCTTTGCACGTTTCATTATAATAATTGACTTTGTCTTCTTGAGCCACCCTTTGAAATCTTCTGTTCAACTCTTTTATCTTGTCATTTCTTCCATTTGCTTTAGCCACTCTTCCTTCAAGGACAAGTTTCAGAGTCTCTTCTGACATCCATTTTGGTCTTTTCTTCCTTTCCTGTCTTTTTAATGACCTTTTGCTTTCTTCATGGGTGATGTTCTTGATGTCATCCCACAATTCCCCTGGTTTTCAGTCATTGGTGTTCAATGCATCAAATCTCTTCTTCAGATGGTCTCTAAATTGAGGTGGGATATAATCAAGGTCATATTTTGGCTCTTGTGAACTTGTTTTAATTGTCTTAAGCTTCAACTTGAACTTGTATATGAGCAACTGATGGTCTGTTCCACAGTCAGCTCCTGGCCTTGTTTTGGCTGAAGATATTGAGCTTCTCCATCTCCTCTTCCCATAGATATTGTCGATCTGATTCCTTTGTGTTCCATCTGGTGAGGTCCAATTGTATAACCACCATTTATGTTGTTGAAAAAAGGTATTTGCAATGAATAAGGCGTTGGTCTTGCAGGTTTCTATCATGCGATCTCTGGTGTCATTTTCCAACTACTGGTGATTCCTCTTTGTTTTCGACTTTTGCATTCCAATCACCAGTAATGATCAATACATCTTGATTTCATGTTTGGTCAATTTCAGAATGCAGAATTGGTAAAAGTCTTCAATTTCCTCATTTTTGGCTTTTGTGGTTGGTACATAAATTTGAATAACAGTAATATTAATTGGTCTTCCTTATAGGCATGTGGATATTATCCCTATCACTGACAGCATTGTACTTCAGAATAGATCTTGAAACAGTCTTTGTGACAATGAATGCCACACCATTCCTCTTCAACTTGTCATTCTCAGCATAGCAGATCACATGGTTGTCTGATTCCAAATGGCCAAAACCAGTCCATTTGAGCTCACTGATGTGTAGGATATCAGTTGCTATGCATTCCATTTCATTTCTGACAACTTCCAATTTCCAAGATTCATACTTTGTACATTCCATGTTCCAATTATTAATGGATGTTTGCAGCTGCTTCTTCCCATTTTGAGTCATGCCATGTCAACAAATGGGGGTCCTGAAAACTTTACTCCATCCATGTTATTAAGGTCAACTCTACTTTGAGGAAGCAGCTCTTCCCCAGTTATATTTTGAGTGCCTTCCAACCTGAGGGGCTTATCTTCCAGCACTGTATCAGACAGTATTTCAGGGCTATTCATAAAGTTTTCCAGTAATATATCAGACAGTACTTCACTGCTATTCATAAGGTTTTCACTGGCCAATACTTTGAGAAGTGGATGGCCCCTTCCTTCTTCCGAGTCTGTCTTAGTCTGGAAGCTCCACTGAAACCTGTCCCCTATGGGTGACCCTGCTGGTATTTGAAATACCGATGGCATAGCTCCTGCTCACAGCAACACGCAAGCCACCACAGTATGACAAACTGATAGGTGAGTGGTGGCAACTATCTCAGAGGAAACATTCTGGAACCAAACCCTCATCTTGCCACTTTGTTCCGAACTTCTCCCCATTTATTATTTTCCAGCTCTCTTCTTGCTGAAGTTCCTTTCCTTTGCCTAGCGTTTTCCTTCTCTTAGGCTGTCTTCATCGCCTCCATTTCCTCATAGGCACCTTTCATGCATTTGCAGTCTAACTTCCATTGTCATGATTATACTAAAATCTGTGTCTGAATGGTTGAGAAATTCCTAACTGAAAAATCATGTGTTGTCTCTCTGTTTTCTCCATTTCTTCTGGATCTTCTTCCATTTTTCATTTTTTAAATAAAAGCATTCTTCAAGAACTGGGATCTTCTCTCTCTAGCCTGTCCCCCTCGGTGATCTGATCTACCACCAAAGCTTCAGCAATTACCTGGGTAAATAAATCTACATTTCAGACTCAGTGCTTTCTTTGGTTCACATTGTCTTCATCTCACTGGATTCCCTTACCCATGTTGCTAGCACATGAGACTCAGTATATCTAAAATGAAGTTTATCACCTTTCTTACAGCCCCCGAAACACTGCTCTCCTGGTCAGTTAGGCCTCAAAAGTTCTTTATTTGCCCTCCTTGTCCTTCCACCACGCCCCATAATGTCTATTTTTATGCTCCCCTTTTCATTACCAGCACCGTTGTCTAATTCTAGTCCTCATTTACTCTTTTCAGGAACTATCGTAATGCCTCACTGTTTTCCTTCCTTCGATCTTTCCTTCATTCAGTTAATTTGCTACCAAAGTAATCTTCCTAATTGTTAATTGTGTCATTCTATACAGCCTCTGAGAAGACTGTCCTGATCTCACGATCATATGTCCCGTCTTCTATTCTCCTGTTCTGTGTATTTTTACAGCACTTAGCACATTTTGCCTTGTAGTATAGTTTTATGCAGTCTGTCTTCCCCACTAAACTTCTAAAGATCATAGTTATCTCTGTATTTCTCATAACTAGGTGCTTGGTAAGTAGGTGCTGGAACTCAGTGCATGCCACAAGAGAAAGCAGACTAGTGTGTCTTACTTTGGGAGTGATTATAGGAAAAAAACTCTCTATTATAGTCAATTGACAACTGAGAAACAAAAGAGACTTGAAGATTTAGGGTCTGGATATTCAAGGAAGCTGGAAAGCCAAGGGTAATTCTCCGTGATGAGGTTTCGACATTGAAGCAGATATGTGACGGAGCTGAAGATTTTACCCTTTGA